ATGTAAATCAGCAAGTAAACCTAAACAGTGTATGATAAAGAACGTCATTTATGAAATCATATGTTCAAGTTGCGGAATTGTATATGTTGGAGAAACCGGTAGAACAATTGGATCGCGAATTAAGGAACACTTAAAAATGGACAAACAAACTGTGTACAAACATATAGAATCTCATATAAGAGTAGACGACCAGATCAATCCGACATAAGTTGGAAAATATTACATAGAAATATAGCCTACCAAGAAGAACGCAAATGTATCGAAGCCTTTGAAATACATAACCGTAGCAAAAATATTATGAACGGTTGCATAGGTAGAACAATTAGTATTTAATTAACCAAACACTGCTTGACCGGACTCGTAGCTAATTGACATTTCAATAGATTTTATAATTTTTTTATTTTATTCATGAATTTTTAATAGACTAGCTTGTATATAATAGACGTATATATTGTAATAAGTAATATTCCACTGATGAAGCCTTGACCGGCGAAACGTCTGGAAAATAAAATATTTTTAACATCTTTTTATTCCAATTTTATGCCTGAAGAAATTCTTTTTAACCTTTTCAAATATTCACCGGGCATGTTACCTACAACCCCTTCATATATATATATATATATATATATATATATATATATATATATATATATATATATATATATATATATATATATATATATATATATATATATACAAAGCTCACTTCCCTTGTGGTCGTTTGAGCACTCTGGCCCCATTACGCTCCGCGCATGTCTGGATGCGTTGAGTCACCGTGTTGTACCACATGCCTTGGAGAGAGCAAGTTCATGGGATATAAATACGAGTGTCTCACGTGTCTAGACGTGTACCAAGCTGCACTGACGAGGCGTAGAACGCCGAAACATGCATGTTTGCAGATTGTACTATATGTATATATATATATATATATATATATATATATATATATATATATATATATATATATATATATATATATATATATATATATATATATATATGTTACAAACAGAACGGCTACGTTTGAAGAAGTTTATTAAAAAAAAGGTATATTAGATACAAAAACTAAATTTTCGGCTGCATGCCACAGCCTTCTTCAGAGTGCCTAGTTTTACACAGAACATACTTATATACAATAAATTATGAATAAATTACTATTGTTGGGCGAAATCATGACTACCATTAAGGCCTTTCCGGCTGGTCAACAACATTCCTATCCAAAAGTTTTCACTCTTTAAGTACTTCACTATGGTGTTGATCAATAAGCATAAATTTTAAGCTCGAATGATCCGCCCCATGCACATCAATAAAATGATTAGTTATACTGCATGTCCGGCGCTTATGCTTAATGTGTGATTTGTAGTTAGCTAGTCTGGACTTAAAATTGGCAGTAGAGCCAACACCTTGCAAACCACAAAGCACACACTCAGCAAGGAGTTATTAGCACCATCTAACCCATATAAGCCTAATAAACTGGAAGGTGAAGGCTGCTACAAATGTGATGCCAAGCGCTGTGATAGTTGTAAGAACTTTTTGATTTTTGGCAATTCCTTTCGTGCAGCTGCCACTGGAAGGATATTTCTTATTTTAAAATCTTTGACGTGCACTTCCAGTAATGTAGTGTATCTTGCTGAGCCCGACATCAGCCTGCCAGAGCCAATTTATGTTCATTAAGGTAGTATAAATTCTGCATGAATATCTTTTATTTTCAGGAACATCAACGCTGATGGCCAATCTTCAAAATGCACCATATGTTGTTCTCTTGGGTGATGTTGGTACTGGCAAGTCGACCCTATTGGAGAAGATGACAGGAGAAACTGGCAGGAGTTCTGATTCATTCACGAGTTACACGAGATCATCAGAGGTTTTCTGGGTTCCTGACGGCAGCCTAATCGTGGCTGATACACCAGGAAGCAACGCACTGAAAGAGAAGCTTGATCACAATATTGAGATAGCAACCGCACTTAATTTCATGCATGTCTCAAGAATCTTTATTGTAGTCAAAGCCGAAGCTCGTATCGACTCTGTTATCAGTAACGTTCGCACGTATGCTGATTGCTTTGTGGAGCTTCCTATGGACGTGGTGGCGGTTCTTGTCACTCACATGGATACCCCTGGGCTTAAATGGATGGAGAAGGATTTCACGCCAGAAATAAATGAGGAACTTGGAATCGATACAGTTATCTTCAGCTCGATAGACACAGCCGGTGAGACATTGGTGTGCGACATACTCAAGACCTGTACCGAGAAATATGATCTCACAGTTGACAATGAAAACCTTTTCAAGCTCTTCAAAATCCACAACAACCACCGTAAGATTCTGAAGTCTACCAGTGATGAAGTGAAGAACTTTAAAGCGAAAAAGCAAGCTTTTGACGAGGCTAGAAAGGCGTTCAGTGGTAAGAATCTGAAATATCTTCCCTATACTAATTAATTGATCAGTTATTTTGTTTTTTAATGGTTTTCTACAAAACACCAAGTTTATTATTTATTTGGCAAAGCTTTCGTTGCCTTGGTAGCCTAAGTATATTATATCAATCCTTGTTTTCCCTTCCTGGAATGCGGCTAGATGGAGGGAAAGAGGGCCTGACACAAATCCCTGCCTGGCGCAAGTATAGAAAAGCCAAAGAAAAGGAAATTTTAATTTGTCTTTTTGATTGTTTAATACTAATTATCATTATACTATTGTTCATGATATAGCTATGTTAGTAGCCTCAACTATAATATATTATAGCTATAAATTGACATTTCCTCTGGGACATTTTGATTAGCTACTAAATATAAACTCTTGGGGGCGGATATAGCAATCAGATTAAGATTTGTGTCAGACTCTATTTAATAAAATATAGAGCCTGTACTCAGGCTATTCCTTTAATTGAAGTCAAGGAATTTTTATATCAGTTCTAATACGCAACTGCACAGAACACGGATTTAACAATCACTGGCAATCATTGACAGTATATGAATTTTAATATTAACCGATAATATAAGTAATTGTATACAAAAATATGCATATATGGTTCTGCTTATCTCAAAAAGTTGCCACTACAGCCTTCTTCATTCAAGAGGAATTCGTTCACGTGGCCCTGATTTAATTCGTTTAATTAGTATATATATATATATATATATATATATATATATATATATATATATATATATATATATATATATATATATATATATATATATATATATATATATATATATATATATATATATATATATAAACAGTTTTGTTTTTCGTTATAGATAACAGAGTGCTCAATACTACAAATTATTTAGCAGAGCGAATTAATTTGTTATCTTAAAATGTTTCAATTTCTCGCGAGTGGCATGAAACTTAAAGTAGCGAGAAATTGAAACATTTTAAGATAACAAATTATTATATATATATATATATATATATATATATATATATATATATATATATATATATATATATATATATATATATATATATATATATTAAATTATAATTTTTACAAAATTATACAGTGTTCTCCGGATTGTAATTATTTGTTTTGAGCTTTCGACTCGGTATTTCGAGCCTTCATCAGAAAGATTGATCATTTGAATTTTCGCGCTGTTGTTGACGCTGTTGAAGTCTGTGGGAACGTCTGATTGGTTGATGGATTTCAGTATGGTGGTTGCCATTGGTTACTATCGAATGCGGGTGATTATTGTTATCATGAGACGGTGTAGGGAAGGAAGTTGAGGGGGATGAAGATGAATTAGGAGATTTGTGAGAGCGTTTCAGTTGTAAGTAAATTGTAGGGATGTCAATGTGACGGTTAAATGTTTGTTTGTCTAAACTATGCCACGCTTCTTTAAACTCACGGGCATGTTTAGTAGTTGCTTGTCCTAGGCATCTCGTTTGAGACCAGTCGAATTTATGTCCGTTGTCGTCTGCATGTGTGTTTAGCTGGAAGTGAGCTATGGTCGTGTCTGTTGATTGCGTTCTGGTGTTCTGTAGGTCTTGTCTGAATCTTTTTAGATGTTTGTCCAATGTACTTATCCGGACATATTATCCGTTATATGTGTCTTGTCTTTGTGTTTAGTGAAGTTGGACCTAAGTTTGCATGTTGGTTTGTGTGCAACGTCAATGTTGAAAGGACGGAGGAGTCTAGCTGCCATTTCTGATGTAGTGTGTGTGTAAGGAAGTGTAATTCTCGTTTTTGTTTGGTTAAGTCGGTCCGTGTTAGTTTGTTGTTTATGTTGTAGCACCTTATTAATGAAGTCTAAAGGGTAGTCATTTTTGTAAAAAGTAGAGTATAAATACTTGCGTTCGTCTTGTTTGGATTGATCAGTGTTACAATGTGTGTCAATTCGGTTGAAAAGAGTCTTTATGCAACTGACTTTGTGTTGTGTTGGGTGATTGCTATTGTAATTTAAAATTTGATCAGTGTGTGTTTTCTTGCGATAAACTTGTGTGGTTAAAGTGCCGTTGTCTGTTTTTGTTATTCGGACGTCCAAAAATGCGAGTTTGTTGTCATGTTCTTCTTCTTTGGTAAATTTGATGTTCTTATAGTGGTGTTGTTAATTGTTAGTAGGATGTCGTCTGTTTTGTCCTTTTTGACAGTGGCAAGTACATCGTCTACATACCTGTCCCATGTTTTAATGTCGTCATTGTTTGAACAGCTTTACTTTCCAGATCTTGCATCACTGCCTCAGCAAGGAAACTGGAAAGTGGTGACCCCATAGGAGTGCCGGAGATTTGTCGGTAGTAATTGTTCTGGAAGCAGAATTCAGTTGAAAGGCATAAGTCAAGTAAATCAAGAATGTCTTGTATATTAAGTTGTGTCTTTGTTTGCCACGACGTATTGTTAGTAAGTAGTTTTTCAGTTATTAGTCGTGCAGTGTCAAGTGGGATAGAAGTGAACAAAGAGACAACATCAAAGAAAATCGTGATTTCATCAGGTTCAACGTGGATGTCTTTTATTTTCGACAGAAAGGCGTCAACATTCTTAACAGAGTGTGGTGATGTACTCACCAGAGGTTTGAGGATATCAGCGAGGTATTTTGACAAGTTGTAGGTGGGGGATCCAGGTAGAGAAACAATTGGTCGGAGAGGATTATTATCTTTATGAATTTTTGGAAGTCCGTAGAATTTAGCGATTGTTGCGTCTTTGGGTCTGATTTGATCAGAACACCAGAACGCAATCAACAGACACGACCATAGCTCACTTCCAGCTAAACACACAGACGACAACGGACATAAATTCGACTGGTCTCAAACGAGATGCCTAGGACAAGCAACTACTAAACATGCCCGTGAGTTTAAAGAAGCGTGGCATAGTTTAGACAAACAAACATTTAACCGTCACATTGACATCCCTACAATTTACTTACAACTGAAACGCTCTCACAAATCTCCTAATTCATCTTCATTAACCTTTAACCCACCCTCAACTTCCTTCCCTACACCGTCTCATGATAACAATAATCACCCGCATTCGATAGTAACCAATGGCAACCAACACACTGAAATCCATCAACCAATCAGACGTTCCCACAGACTTCTACAGCGTCAACAACAGCGCGAAAATTCAAATGATCAATCTTTCTGATGCAGGCTCGAAGTACCGAGTCGAAAGCTCAAAACAAATAATTACAATCTGGAGAACACTGTATAATTTTGTAAAAATTATAATTTAATAAAATGCCTGGATTACAAATCTTCAAATCTATTAAATATATATATATATATATATATATATATATATATATATATATATATATATATATATATATATATATATATATATATATATATATATATATATATATATATATATATATATATATATATATACAGGGTCGGAGTTGTTCTCAGCAGTGTCAAAATTATTATGAAATTTCTATTAATCTTTAATAGGAAAGGATTTGGTTGACCTTGTTTTCGAGTTCCAGGCTTACATGACCGAAGAAATTGTTGAAGCCCAGAAAAGAATGTCTGATGTAAACAACTTCACTTTTGATGGAGATGGTGCAGCAAATGAAGCTGGTCATGTTGCCAACATGGTGAATCAACTTCGCGTGGTGCTTTACGATATCAGAACAGAATGCACTGGATTCCAGAATGAGCATGGTGTTTCTGAATTGCGAAAGTGTCCACACTGCGGTTTGATTTGGACCAGAGTTGAAGGTTGTGATGGAAGTACAGAATGTGGAAGACAGCCCAGCTCTGTCAACGACATCAGGGACTCCTCGTTTGCAGTCCTAGCAACGTTCGCATTCAGTTGGGTTGGTAACAAGCTTAATATCGCCAAGAGCGGCGATAAAAGTGTGAAATCCGAGAAGAGTACAAAGCCCAATAAAGGATGTGGCAAGTCGATCACATGGAGAGAAATGCCGCCAGTTGATATTCCGCCCGAATTCAGGGAAACTGTGAAGGTTTGTACAAGCGATATCAAGATGCTACCAACTGCTGCTGAAGGTTTCAAAGAAAAGCTTACTAACAAATTAGATGCTTCTAAAAAGAAAATGAAGCTATCAGGAAGGCCAAGTCCGGTTTAAGATGATATATACATCTGTCAGACACATTTCATCATATTGTTAAACCTTGAATGCTTGATTGAACATGCATGCATGCAGTATAATGAATGAACTTAAAAAATCAGAATAAGACAAATAATAAACATATTTTAGGTAGACATAAATAGACATTTTTAGGTGGTTTCTTATACCTTGATATTAAAACTGTTTAGGACTGATTTGTGAAATGTCATTTGCACACGTAAAAATCTACAATTTGTTACAAACCTGCGCAGCACACTTGTACTAATGCTATTCCAACAAGTTGTCAGCGGTTGTTAAAAACTTGCTACAGGGTTGTTTAATTCAACAGACCCGTCACAAGTTGTTTTAACAGACCCGTCACAAGTTGTTTTTAACAACTTGTGTATAAAATGTAATTCCGCTCGAAGTTTAATGAACTCTCCATTGACATGCTGCTTTT